GAACTTTCATTCTGACGGCACCCATTCACTGCAGAGGATCCAATGACATGACAATGATCAATTTCTCCAAATCTGTTCTGATTAAGCAGCAAACACATCTTGAGGGTGAGTACTTTTTTTTATCTTTGGGTGAACTATTCCTCTAAATAATGCCAAAGTCTTTTTAAAGAACTAGTTTATCTAAAAATTTAAATTATGTCATCATTAAAGGGATAGTTCACCCTAAAAATCTAAATTACTCCACGATTTACTCACCCTCAAGCCATATAGGTGTATATGACTTTCTTCTTTCAGACGAATACAATCGGAGTTGTATTAAAACATGTCCTAGCTCTTCCAAGCTTTATAACGGCAGTGAATGGTGGTTGAGATTTTGAAGCAAATTAAAGTGCATTCAGCCATCATAAAAAGTACTCCACATCCATATTTAAAACTTTATAAAACTGTAATCTCTAGCTTCCTCTAACTTTCGTCTCCAGCTGTCATTTGTTCCACACATTACAGGAATTACACTCTACATTGTGTTCACTTCAACTCTTGAGCTCATCTCTTTCCTATAAGATGCCAGAGAACTCTGAATAGAGGCTGTCTACCTCTCTAAAAGATACGGGCACCATGATGACAGATGTATTGTTTCCAAAAACATCCTGCTTCGGTCTCAGATTGAGGATGAGGTATGTGAGGGGCAACAAGCCAAGCAGGTAGACAGCCAGGTTCAGCAAATGAACCTTGCTTCCATACGCCTTCCTGTCCGAATAAAACACAGTTTCAGTAGGATATTCAAATGCTTATGTAAATCAATCTATTTGTTTGAAGTGATGTTAACACTGTAACGCTGATATTTTTAACCATGTGCGCTAAAGTAAAATGCACTGACTGTATTGTATAGGACATAAAAAACAACTGACTTTAGACATTAGCATATCATAGTAAGGTTAAACATCTTGACAAGAACTGTTACAGCACATCTTTTACATACCACTTCATCTCCAGATATTTTTGGCTCACGGGGTGAGTGAGGAGCTCCAGACGGTTGTACCGCACCATGGCCTAGTGTGGTACAAGAGTTACAATTTATTCTCACACTGTTTTAGGATGCAAAAAGAATAAGAGCTTTGTATTTAAGAATGTATAGTGTACAATGGGGTCTAAAAGTCAGATATCACTGGAAACAATGCTTATAAGGAACATGACATGATTTTACAGTAAAATACTTTTAAATGTACAGTTTTGAAACTGTAAATTTCACTGTAAGTGAAAGAGATGTAAGTGAAATGTCTAAGAGTTGTAAGAGATGACTGTAAGTGAAAAAAGATTGTCACCTTATAATTTACAGTTATTAATATTCAATTTTTTATGTTTTTACTGAATATATATATATTAAGGGGACTTACGTTCATAGCA